ATATAAGACTAATGCTAACATTTAGCCTTTCTTGTTTTTTAGGATACAATAAATTGTCAATGTGATGGTGTTCTGTTTCCAGAACTAGAAAGTAGATATAGTAGAGAAAACAACCACTGTAAAACATTGAATGAATTCTTCAATTAGATCTTTATCACTGAAAAATGACATTCACATGAATACTCTCATAAACCTTTACTTTCAGGCAAAGCAATGCTACCCATCTTGTATACTGCATTCTTCACTCACCAGGAGCCAAAATAGTACAAAAATTAAGTACACAAAGTAATAACTGTAGAATATGACAGACCATCATTCACAGAGACAGAACATAAATGTTTTATTGTGGGTACAGTAAAAGTATATAACATGGCCTCCATATGCTATCCTTCCTCCTGTTCTTTGAGTCAGTTCCTAGAAAAAGAGTCTCTTTCTCTGAGTGCAGAAAAGCAAATACTTAAGATGATTTGTCCTATTTCAGTGCAAATGACTTACGCATTAAATGGAGAAAAAAAGCAAGTGGTTGCATCCTTCTGTAAAGCCTGTCATTTCTACAACTTCAGTTCTGTAGAAGCTGAAGTTGAGCATTAGTTGGAGTTATTAATTGGAGAATTTAGAGTATTGGCATTAGATTCAGATGAATTTTTAACTGATCCAAAGAGTTTTCTTCCAAGTGCTTTTCTCCTTAGATCCTGGATAGAATTTAGAAGCATTATACTGTGATAATTCCAAGACATCCACATCTTTAAAAATGCAGCAATGCCTTCATGACCATGCTTCTTCAGAAACAAACAAACAAAACAGACAGCACAAACTCTTTTGTTTTTGTTTCTAAAGTAAAACAATGTTACAGTGAAGAAGTGTGGTAATTATTCCAATTAATTTTATAAAGCAAGGGATTTTATTTTTTTTTAAATTACCAATCAGTGTGAAGATCAAGGAAGAAACACCCCTCTGAAAACAAATACATTTTGAGAAACAGCAGGAAAATACTAGAGCATTTCCACACAATTATTTGAAATACTTTCTGTATTGTCAAAGATCAGCTTACAACAAAGAGGCTCAAAAGTGATTCTTACAGAAAACCTGGCTGGAAAATACTGAGGATTATTTTAAAAAAATGCAGAAGAAGAAAAGGCATAATAGATATTTTGTAAGTCAATGGAAGCCTGATGAGAAACACAATTAAAATCTAGTAAAATGAAATCTCTGTAATATTTATTAAAAATAATTCAGCTAAACAAACTCAAATCATTTCTCACACAGTCACTTTCAGAACACCAAATCATAATTCAAAATCAGATAATTAGAATATACTTACTCAGATTATGCTTACGCATCACTATCATACAAATCCTCTTGATCCAGAAGCTTTACAAGTATTTTTGACCCTCTAGCTTAAAAGAAAACCCATTTTTTGACAGCTTCAGTTAAGGAATTCATGAAATTGATTGTATGTCGTTCCATATACAGTATTCAGTTGGGAGTCAAATGCCTATCCACATAGTTCATAACAGTTTACTCTATCTCATTTCAATAAACAAAGAAATTATACAAGAGAGGTAGATATTCCTTATGAACACTATTTCAGTACAATAGACACGAAGGACTTGAATCAGTAAGGATGCCATCATAGTTTCACAAGAAGCAGTTTGAGATGAGTAGGAGCACAAGCAGTACTCAAGGAAACACACTGCTAGGCAAAGTAACAGTGTATGTGAGTACATGTAAGGCCAGAATCATGCTAATCCTCTTCCAAACTTAACTTTGAATGAAGAAAAGGCACTCAGAACTACATCCAGATCAGGAGTTTGGAACTAAGAGGGGACAGCTATAAAGCAATGCATCTACACATAAATGCATTTAGATAGAGGTTTACAGAGGTAAAAATTATTAGCAAATGAAGAAAAAATAAAAGCAAAACTGAACAATTTAGAAGCTGTTTTATACTTACTAACAACTTCACGGCCCTGACCGACTGCAAAAATTTCTTAACATCCTCTACTGTATTATTTATCCAGATTTAGTATAAAAAACACACAGGCACATTTTTTTCAGACTGCAATCAACCATGAGGAAAGACTTGAATCTGGAGAACTAAACAAGTAGACTTTTCCCAAATTTGTGTGGATAGTTTTATTAATGCCACTGTAGATCCATTATGCTAATCCAGTTTAGAAGTTAATACAACATTTTAGGAACTTGACTTCTGAAATTCATGCCTTTGCTTATTTACTCATTAAATTGTGAAAAGTTATCTTGCATGAGATATAAACTGAACTCAGTTTCTTCTCGACTTCTGTGGAACCTGGCCAGTTGATGTCAATCAGAAGCCAATCAATGCAAATTTGCATAGTACACAAAAGTAAACAATGGCTGCTTAGAGTTTAGGTTTTTCAGTTTCCTCTACATCAAGGACTACAGCCTTTAAAAGTAGATGCTCGAACCATAGAACTTAATTTATTATCATTTTAACCCATGGCCTCTGTGTCAATATATGACTTCAGAACTTTCGTGACTGATGCTTGACAAAGTCATGTTTAGAGAAATCAAGTTGCCAAAATTCAGAAACAGAGGATATTTGTTAACTGCAGATCTCAGCCTATCATGAGATGGGAATTAATTGATCGATGGCTTAAAAAGGAAAACACCTATCTGAATCATTATATATAATGCAGCAATAAATATAACCCTATTGTACAGAATTGGTTAATGCATGGAGCCTTCTTAGGTATTATCTTATAGGATACAGTTCAGTTAACAAATTTACATATTTCTATGAAGCATGACATGCTGTTTCTGCATTTAGATTTTTGAGAATCATGGCTAAAGGTGATCTGAACAAACAGTTGAGAACTAGAGCAGTAATTACTGGAACCAAAGAACTGTGGAATGATTAGGGATAAATAAAATAAGTCATTTTCTGGTAGAAAATGTCAGAAAGTTTCTTAAGAAGAATTTTAAATTAATTGAGATTGCAGTATTACAGGGATTAATGATCCATTAATGTCTACCATTTATAACCATAATTAAGTTTACTACTTCAAGTTATGTAAAATAATAGTATATTTGATACAACATCAATGAAGACGTAGTACCAAACTATTTCATTTAACTATTCATTATCAGCAGGAACACTAAGCTTCCTTGCTACCTTGTAAAGTAACAGCCTTCAGGACTTATAGTTCTGCCTCTTCCCTGCCCTTTCTATAATCATGTATTCAATTATAATCCATGAATAATGAATAAAGCATATAACCCTTAGGGTGTAAAGCCCTCTCTTACGGTCTTTTCCTTTTTAAAATAGCATCTAAATTAATCTTCACTTCTCCACTTCTAAACCTTCACCAACACAGCAGCCCCAGCTGTTCTCCATATGAAGCTAACATGTCTTTCATGTGGGTCATACAGACTCTGGTGCTCATTTCTTCTACAATTGCTAAGTGATCAAGATTATGATGCCTGAACAGAGATTGAAAAGTGTACTGGACAAAAAAATTATCTCATGCAGGTACAAATAAGTTACAAAGCAAAAACAAACAAACAAACAAGTAAATAAAATACAAGTTTTCTTGTCCAGTCATCCACTTGCATTCTCTTAAAAACATTGCCAAGGCTTTCTGGGATCTTTGCAGTGGCTGGGAGGAGCAGTGGCCTAGCTATTTGTTATATTTGTTTGTTTGCTTTTGATTTGTTTTTTACCATTTCATCCTCCAAATGCACTTAACTGTGATGTTCACTTAATGCCCAGTGCTCAATCCTCCTGAATCTTCCTGTATCCTTGACTGTAACAAGTGGGGATTATCGATTGCAAGAATAACTTACTCTGTTATGTGAAGAAGCAAATGGAGGTACATAGTAACACATAACACAGTATCTTCTTTTGGATTTCACTCTCAAAAGTGAGGAAACACTACCATTAAAAGTTTTGTTTGGCTGATGTTGACTTCAGCACAACCTTCAGAAGCAAAGCAAGTGCTCTGGCCCATCAAGGATAGCAGCAGAAATATGTTAGCGATATTTGTATATCTTCAAAAACAGGACTTGATAATGTATTACAATAAGTATAATTTTCTATGGGACAATAGCATTCACATTTCCGATTCAGCTACCATGATCTGATGTTTGGACAGGATCACATTACCATTGCCTCTGGTAATACAGTTCATACAGTTCAAGTATGCATATATTTTTGTAGTAATACTTCAATTATCTTGTAAGAATAATTCCTGTAGTCTTCAAGGAAAGTAAAGCTAATGAAAATGAACTGGTTGTAGATGATTTTAAAGTAATCTGGGAAAAAAAAAAAAATCACAAATCCCTTGATTTGCTTATGAAAAAGAAACCAAGATCCTTCTGAAGTTTAGAAACTGGATTTCATTTGTACAATTTCTCAAAAAGGCAGTACCTAATCTGACCTGTTGTGTGACTAACATAACACAGGATTTGTATGCAGATCCTTGTTCTGATTCAGCAAGCATGAATTCAGACATGCCTTTAGAAACACAAACTTCAACTATATTGAATTTACAAATCTAAAAAATGTATCTTGAATTTCCAAAGAGATTGTTATTTCTAGAAGATTCTGGAATTACTGTTTTTCATCTTGAACAGAAATCCCGCTATATCAACTTATGCTGATTTTGCCTGCTTTACTATCACAGGCTACAGATGTATCAGTTGTGCAGAAGAACATTCTTTTAAATGCTTCCAGACATTATAATTCTTGTATATCTTTTGTACTGCATCCGACATTGCAACTACCTTCTAAGAAATTCCACTGCCTAAGTATTACAGTAACAATTTAGTTCATGATGTATTTACAGATTTCATTCAGGCCCTCAGTCTGATGATGCTTCTTCTTGAAGTCCAACATTAAGTGACAGTAACTTCACATTATTTCTCTCTCTCCTGTTGCATAACATAGAAGATTGCAGACAGCTTACTTGAACATTTGGGTTTTTTCAAATCTGATATAATTTCATAGCCATCATATTTTAGACATTGGTCTTACATTCTCCAGAAAATGCATGTCTAATCATCAAAAAAAGAAGACAGACATGAATCAGTATTATTATCAAATAATAATCAAATTATTATAATATACATGTATTTATAATATAACATATAAATATATTTATAATATAAAAATTATAATCAATATTATCAAAACAGAGGTTTTTTTGCATATGCATTTGGTTTTGTCTTGTTACTGCAGAAAGACTCACCACTTTACTTCTACAACCTTCACTCACTGGTACTTTTTCCTCTAAACTGCTAGTTTAGAAGTAGTAGACAGTTTTGTTTCTCCTCAGGAGAACAGCAATAAAAAAGCAAAATCAAAATCTTGTTAAGTATCATTCTGCTTGTTTCTATTGTGCTAAGTCACTCTCCACTTCAAACAAAGCAACAATTATCTTTTCCCAATATCTCATCATTCACGTATTTAAAAAGCAACATATTTCAGATGAGAAATACCCTGGACACAGCTGGTCGGTGCTGCCATGCAACAACCTACTACGTACCAGAGATACAGCACCATTTTTGCTGCTCTGAAGCTAATCAACAGATGTGCCCAACAGCACAGTTTCCCTAGGAACAGGATTTTCACTAATGAGCAGGAATATTGGTGTGATGCCATGTCCCTTTTTCTCTGAACCTCTATTGCAGAGAACACAATCGGTAAAAAATGGATGAATCTGTGATGTCCTTAAGTTCCAGCAATTTCTATTTGCCAGTAAGCAGCATTAAGGCAATGAGCTTTAATTTTCTCTAAATCATGAAGCAAATCAGACTGGTCAATGGCCAATTTTCCAACAAGAGGAGCATGACAGTAGCTAAAAGGTAGCCAGCTCCACCACAGTATGCTGCACTATGCTAGACTTGATACGCAGTTACAAAAGCAAACCAAAAGTTTTAAAATTTCCACTAAGACATAATACCTACAAAAAAAAAACAAAAAAAACAAAAAAAACACAACAACAAAAAACCAATTCCTCAACAAAAAAAACAAAACAAAACAAAAATACATAAGCGTCTCTGAGCTTTAATAGAAAACTAAACGCAACTGATGCATTTTACTAGTTCTAAATTACATTTACAGCGCTTTTGACTTTTAGACAATATTTGTCTACGGTTTTAAGAACTTAGGAGTAGAAAAAGAATGAAATTAATTCTAAGTTACCCTGGGAAGTCTTGCTGGAAGATGAGCGGGGTGAGAAACAATTGACTTATTACAGAGCTTGAAAGAGGGAATTATCACTAAGTTGCCAAAATTTGTGGGCTCACCAGTGCCTACAGGCAATTTATCATAATCCTATTTAAACTCAATATAGATAAATTTGAAGTTATTTCTTTCTTATACAAAGCTAAAAAATCAATGGAATTTTGAACTAAATTAATGAAATTGCCCATAGAGGAAGTCGCACAGTTTTAACCAAACACTAAAACTGTTATCAACAAAAGCAATGCACGTGAAAACAATGCTGTATAAATAAAGACTTGTTTGAGCAGTTTGTTTTCAACCTGTTCTACTTCCAAATATGTCGTTGAGGACCTAAATGCTATCCTGCTCTTTGAAGTGATTTTGCAACAACTCATTGACATTCATAAGGACATAATTAGACCTCTGCTAGTGATTACTTCAGCCTATGCGTGTTCTGAAGTACGCTCCCAGTAACCTAACACAATCCTCATTTCTTAAAATAACTGGCTAAATAATGGATAAACTGTGACTGCACACATCGTGTTTATCCACAGTGAAACCTCTGAAATTTCACCTGTAACTAAATTAGGCTGTTAAAATCTAATTGCATTTTGAATGACTATTGCTTATTGGGCTGAATTCTTACAAAGGCTGCCGATCCAGTCCTCCCTCTCCTGATTTACAGCTTTGTATTTCTTCATGCATATATCAAAGTTTGCAGTTTCCAGGAAATCATCATAGATGATGGAATGGTGCAGTAGTGTCCTCTCATTACCTAATTTCCATCCCATATGGCTTGGCAGTAAAGCTCCTCCAGGTCCCGCTGTTAGATAGGAGCTTCATTTGAATTACTTCCATTCCAGGTTTCTGAACCCCCTTCCTGCCCTTCTTTCCTACACATAATGCCTTCTCCAGACTTTTGTTCTCACAATACTTTACCCCACTGAAGCATAATGGCAATAGCTGTCTTCAACACTAATGAGATAGAATGAACAGATGTGGGAGAAAGAGCCACTTGCTGTATGACTAGTAGCCTAAGTTCAGAACAGAGACACAGAATTTACAGTACATTCCAATTTGTGGTGGATGCTCCCAGCAGTTACTTCTCATACCCTTAGGTCTCTGTGAGTAAGTCTGCATTAGAGTGCATCAAGCCAATAGTTCTCATCACTGAGCATGAATTTCTTGGTGCTTTAATTAATTCACCCACAGCATGAGCATCACTGTGTTCGATGCATACTCATTCTTGAAGAATTTGGGCAGATAATTACCATCATGAAACAAAGACTAGTGGACTGCCAGAAGCAGTGGTCTAGAAGAACATGGGAAAACAGAAAGGCAGAACATTAGCAAGATAAGCAAACTTGATTTCAATTCTTCCTTGCAGATGTGATCATCACAGAAAAGATTGTGTGCGTATGGATACGTATACTTTTTACTTTTTACTTGGATAAATGGTTTTATATATATATATTTATATATACATATTTGTGTATATATATATATATATATATATATATTCATAGAAAGATATACGTACAATTTATTTAAATTATCTTCAGTAATTTTCATGATCCTCCCAAAGTCTGTGGGTTGAAAAATGTTTTTTTCCTGTTTTAAGCTTTACCTGGACTTCTCTGCAAAAAAATGCTTCCAAACATAAATTTATTTGTTGGCTTAAGAACACTTTGGGCAGAAAGAAAAAGGGAAGTCATAGTTTTCACTTCCTTTGTTTCTGAAAAACTGGCCTATGTACTCTATGCAGCAAGATAAAAAAGAAAAACCAAAATCCAAAAATGAAATCACAGCAATAAAATACGTAGACACATCTCTGACTTGCCCAATAAACGTGCCGTTCCAGATAAATGGGAAATGTGTACAGTCTATTGGAAGGTTTTCTAAACATGAATGGCTTTTTACCCCTTCTCTCTGAAATCTATAGTAGGACATAGCCTTCAAGCTAGTTCTTGTCACATATCTGCAAGCCCTTTTCCTTTCCTGAATTTCAAGTTTTCCTAATGTCAGGCCAAAGTACTGCAAGCTTTTTGAATTGGACTGCACTTCACATTCAAGCAAATTCCATGTCTTAAGGGTGCACTTTTCTAGTACAAGGGATGCTCCAAAAGTAATGCTTCCTATTTTATTATGTTGGCTCATGACATCAGAGGCTGATGTTTGAAACATGGCAGTAGAAGCTGAACCTTCTCACCAATATTCCATTACATTTTGTTGCTGTGGGACCAGTAGCAGCAGAGGGGTAGTCTGACAAAATGGCATCTAACATGGAAGTGTGTAGGAATCAAAGGGTAGAATTGAATTCCTTCACGCAGAAAAAATTGCACCCACTGACATTCATTGACACTTGATAAGTGTTTATGGAGACCAAACAGTGGATGTGGACACAGTGAGCTGGTGGGTAGTACATTTCAGCACTGATGACAGTGGGTCACCTCCACTGGTGCAAATTTTTACGAGCATGGCACACAGGTTCTTGTTTGTCTCTGGAGGCATAGCTAACAGTGGTGACTGCATTGAAAATTCGTATTTAGTTGCTGAGAATTTGCTCTATTAAATACTGCTGTTGTGCTCTTCATTTTTGTTGCAGATTCCATGGAAATAAATAGGAAGCATTACTTCTGGAGCAATCTCTAAAGACGTTAATATTGCAACAACAACAACAACATTCCATTCCCACACTTACCAGAAAAGTTGTTGGTTGAAGCCAGAGATTTATGTATGTTTAGTCAAAGATCTTGCTCAAATCTTGAACGCAAAACAAAGCATAAAAAGCTGAAAAAGTTAAAATAAAAGTCAAATTAGATAAATATTACATAGACCATTATCAAGAAACATAACCATAGCAGAACACATTAAAATTTTAATTTACAGCATTATTTCAGTCAAATCTTTGTATTTAGACTCAACAGTAGAAAGCTGAGGAAAAAATGACACCTTAGATCTCAGCTTCAGATTAAATACTTGCACACTGTGCATCTTAAGTAAGCATTAACTAGCAGGATATTTAAGAGTATCATCTTCTTTCTGAGGTTTTCTTCTTTGCACAGAAAACTATTTACTGAATGTATGCCAAGCTGATTGCAGGCCAGCTACTGGGACCTCATCTGGAATGTGCTAATTGGAAGAGAACTTGTATACAAGTGTCCCAAAACCCAGATGACTGCCTTGATCAGCAGGCTATGTAATTAGGGCTCTATTTCTGCGTTTTCATGATAATTTGGAATTTAGTGGTGCAGTGTTCTCTCCAATAAAGAACAAAAATAAATGTGGGAAACACAATATTGTATCACATGTGGATTCTTTGTTTTCCAGAGAAATCTATCCACATTTGCCATTCTGTTACTTTCAAAATCTTTACTTTTCTTGAAAAATACTCTTGCTTCACTTTCAAAGAAGTAGGACAACATTTTCACCTCAAAGAAATCCAGATACAGTCACAAACAAAAAAAAGGAGTCTGGCTATCATGAGTTTTTTAAGACACTTCTCAGAGAAAAATATCCACACAATTTTTGAAATGGTGGATCCTTCAAAAGATCTGCCATTTCTGATTCACAGTGACAGATTCATGCCGTCTCTTTCCTGAGTTCATTGCTACAGCAAAATTGAAAAATGTCTTGGGTTAGAAAGGTTAGAAAGTATCACAACGATCATCAGGTTCCAACCCCTCTGCCACAGGTAGGGTTGCCAACCACTAGATCAAGTACCAGATCAAAGCCCAGGATCCATTCAAGCAGGCCTTGAACACCTCCAGGGACAGGGCATCTACAACCTCTCTGGAAAGACTGCTCCAGCCCCTCACCATCCTCTCAGTGAAAATCACAATCCTCGCAGTGAAAAATCCCAAATAAATTTCTAAATACGGAAAAACAAGTGTCATCTGCCAATCAGCAGAAGTTCTGCTTTACTAGCAATCCAATTTATTCTCTCATAGAGCCCCAGATGTAGGCTGCTCACTTTATTTTGTATTTTTCTCATACCATTTCAACTTAGTTTTATGCACTTCCTTACAATCCTCTATAAAGCTGCTGCAGCCTGTTCACATACTGCACAGTATATACGTGATACCATGGCTTCCGCTGGTGTTCCAGAGGTATTTGTTATTGTCATCATCTCAACACACTGTGCTGTTAATGCAAGCAGTCAACCATTGTTTTTCCATGTACATAAATTGTATGCCTAGAGACACCTACTATTATTATTTAATAAAATGACTCTAAAGATAATATCTTACATTTATACAAATGTCCCTTCAGCCAAGAATCTAAAAATACTTTGCAAACATATTATTTATATTTTTTAACTTGAATGTAATGCTACAGATTGTTCTACCTGACACTGAAAAGCAACTACTTTTAGCATGAAATATAACCACTTAACAGTGCAAAGCAGTGCAAAAACAATTTAAATGTGTCTATATGACTGTATCCGTTATAGAAGACAGCATCACAATCATCTGAGTGCAGAAGCACAGCACAATGACATCAGGAGTTAACAATACAGACCAATATGCTGTGTAACTCTACCAAGAAAATAAGGCTACATCTTTGCTGAACCACAGAAGTAGGTATAAAGGCAAGTCTGAAGCACTGTTTGTAAAAATGGATGAAAGGAACTCAAGAATTAAAAAGAGCAGCGTTTAAGGTGCTTAGATGTATTTATACTTATGATTAGATCCAAAAAGCCTAAGCATTCAAACAAGAACAACAAAGCTTGAGTTTTGAGGTCAGTCAAGGAGGCTGGTGAGTAGCTTAGCAAAAAAAAAAAAAAAAAAAAAAAAAAAAAAAAAAAAAGCAAATGGAAAATATTTTTCTTTTCTCTTTCTAGTTCCCAACTAGAAGAAGGCCCTTATGGTGAGATAACTTGTTCTCTATTCATTTTTGTGGTCAAACCAGTCTAATGGTTTATGGTAAGTGTATGAGTTCCTACATTCACATAATCAGACATACCCCTTACAGGTATTTTGATTTAAAGACTGAAACTCCATGACAACAACAAGAAACACAATTTCTTTTATAAAAGTGATGTAGTTGAACTGGGAAGAGAAAAGAGTAGAGGTCACGTTATTTCCACAAAACACTATGCAGCAAAGTCACTTGTCTATACTCATCCTCATTTACAGTCATGACTTATTTCTTGATGGGATTTTTGGGATTCAAAGAAAGGACTCCTATTTCTATCTGTACAGTGCCATACTGCATCTTTGAAGATGCTGCTCACCTACGAAATAAATATAGGACTTTGTAAGTTTAATTGTTAAATTAATTTGCAATGCTTTCCACCCAAGCCCCTTCTGCACCTAACCAATAGTAAAAAAAAATATTTTTCTAAATTAAAGAAATTCCAATTAGGACCCCTGAAGTTCTATATACATAAAGGACAGCATATGACACTAAGTTTGTCTCAGTCTGTTTTGTTGGAAAAGGTTGTTACAGTATTGGCCCTGTTCTTATCGCTTCAAGACAGTAGCCCAAATTCTTCCCTGTTACAGAAGTCCAATCTCACATTTATTTCAGTGGGTTTCAGTAAAGTAACTGAAAAAAGAATTTGGCCCATAATCACTGACTTTATCGTATAACTAGTAAGTGCTTGGCTAAGATTAGATTTCAAGATAGGCCAAGGGGATAATTCAAGGACTTGAGAATCTTTACTGACACCAAAGGCTTCTGCCTTCTGGGAAAACACAAAACAAAGTGCACTTATGGCACTGTATTCCTTGAATGGAGGGAAATTATTAACTAAAATACTAAAAGGTGCTACTCAATCTACTACAATAGGACAAATAAAAGGAGATGTTTACGTTCTAGAAAAGAATTCAGCTTTTCATTTTCTAATATTTCCAAAATTTAAATCAAGTTAGGCCTGATTGCCTTCATGACTGAATAGTTTTTTTTGTGGGTCACTGTGTGGTATTAGAAAATCTGTTAGTAAGATACGTGATGAGACTTTTTGGAAACTTGATTTGTTGACTACTGCAACACAAGCAGACTCTTAGAGCCCCATGACCTTCAACACCAAGAGACAGTAAGTTTAAATGCTTTTTGATGATTGAGGATGTAGACTAGTAACCTTATTTCCACTTACCGGTCTTCTTCATTCAACTGAACTCAGGCTTCGAAGTTAGCAAGTCTTGATCCCCAAAAGCAGAAGTCAGTAAGTAAATAAGTAGAAATAACTTGATTGGATTCCACAGCGATGCTGCCACTTGCTGCTGACTTAGTGCTTGAGAAAAACAAAACAATAAAATTCTACAGAAAAGGAAGTCAAACACTTCTTCAGTTTGAATTTCCTAGATTCTTTAGTTGTACTCTACCACTTGGTTCATGTTACTAAATACTACAAGACCAGAAAACCAATTTGTATTTAGCCTCAATTCAAAGGATAAGAAAGATCATAAGTAGACTTCCAGATTTTAGAAAGATTATTAATATAGCAGATAAACTTATTCAATGAGTAAGACAAGGCCTTGTCAAAAAACCCTAGAAGTCCTAATATAAAGGTATGTGGGAAATTATAAACAGAAGGTTAAACTACAGTCATTTTTCTAATAAAAGTATACTTTATGTCCATAAAAAATAGAGAAAACACTGAAATCACAGAGAATTAAAATAACTGCCAGGAGTGGCCACTTGTGCAAGCTTTTAGGTAGCAGTTTTTAGTCCTAAATCATAATCCCAGAAAAAAACTCTACCCCAGATATAGGCTGCTTACAATGTTGTTGGAACCTTAAATCTTGCAGAAGCCAAAGCCCTGCTTGCCTCACTGCTCTCCAGAGAAGGACTGAGGCTCCATGATCATCCTGACAGCCAAAAGCCTCTTGCTCTCCACTTAATTTACTTCACGCCATACAACACACCTGATATGCCTTTAATTAGAAAACCAGTATGGCCATTAGAGATACCACATGCCAACTTGTGTGTTACTGCCCCTCAGTCAGAGGTGAGCATCTTCTCAGAAGGATGTATCAAAGCTAATTTATAATCAAGCAATTCAGATTAAGTCCTTCATCAGCAGCAGCATAAGGTGAGCCCACAACTTTGCAATCTGGGTAATACACAGACTGCAGTGGAAGCAGCAGCAATCAGAAGAGTAACAAGACCCTGATGGTGTTCTCATTCACCATAACCACTATCCATACAAAAATAAATCAGCAACAAAAACTCCAGCTATTTCTGTTGCCATCTTTAAGTTATGCCATCATAAGCTGCAAACAAAGACATATAATATCCACCGCCCTCCCTGTGACTTACACTTTTTCTTTACCTTTCCTTCCTTTCTTCTCTAAGCTGAGATCTACTTAGTTAAAAGCATATAGGTGCTAAGTATCATGCAGAGGAAAAATAATATTTCTGTATCATTCTTAACTCAAAAACCTCCCAGAAGTGCAAAGACGCCATGTACCCTATGACAGATTTTGATTCTTTTTTTTCTCTCTCCGATGATTTAGATTTTTTTTTTCCCCCAACTGGTTGAAAAGCATAATAAATCTATTTATTTGCAAATTATGTGATGCGAGTCTGAAAGCAATCCTTGAAGAATCTCCTCCAAAATAAAACCATTCCAGCTCATCCCTGTATGTAACATCAGAGTTGCTGCACAATTACAGGGAACTACACTCTGCCAACACTGTTTAATTGAGAACCTCTCTTTTTTCTGGCTCTGCTACCATTAGACAGCTCGTGTTCCCACTGCTTTGCCTCCATCTGTGCTAACAACAGAATCCTTTTTGATTAAAATGTTCATAAGTTATATTGTGAAAAATCACTTTAACTGTGCACTTCCTTCACTTTGAAATGATTTCCCCTCTTATGTACGCAAAATCTAAGCAACTGATACCTACACATCTATGCTATTTTATTTCGATGAGAGGGAAAGAATTTAGACCTTTTATTTAAAAAGTTTTTCAAGCAAGGAGAAACTTGAGCTCTGGCATAGGAAGAAATGCAAATGGCTAATATTCGCACATGGAGAAAAAAGGCATAACTTTCTTCAATTAAAAAAAATACTCTAAAAGGAGAATCACTAAAAATCTGCTTAAATAAGACATTGAAACTACTATATTTCATGCAGATATATCAGAATATTTGGTTTTCCCACAAAGACAACTTTTTTTCATTTTGATTTTTAAGTAGGAAAAGTATAACATGTCAAGAATTCTTGTTTTCCTGGGTTCTCAGTGCAACTGACCCTTGGACTGTCATTTGATTTTGTAATGAAAATATACAGTCTTCAAAGCCACAATTAGCTATCTTTTGCAGGAGATAGAAATATTTATTTTGCCATAGCAAAGACCATAGAATTTGTTTCCCAATTAAAGGAGGAAGGATAAAAATGTAACATATTGAAGTAGGGATTAATAGGGAAATTACCAGAGGAAATTAAGATAAATTAGTAATTAATTAGACTGTAATTAGGAGATAATTAAGTAAATTAAGGAATTTAGGATGTACATTATATGTTCTACCTAAACAATAGTTGTAGTTCAACATCTAATGTCATTAAACACTTCTTTAATCGTCAGTGACCCATTTCATTTTTTGAAGTATTTCAGTTTGTATTTTCAGGCGAACCTCAAGCCTAAAACATACCTTTATGTTAAAAAAGACTGGAATCAAATAATAAGCTCAAATGCTATGTTTCTTGAGAACTAGTTGAAGTTTTGGCAATGATACACTTTCTGCACTGAAAACAAAACTGAGTCTGAGTCCTGGCTCGAAGTTCCTTTAGAAAGAGGAACAATTATTTTTTTTATCAGTCTTGCCAGGATGCAGAAAATACTAATACATAAGACAGAGATAAAGAAAAAAGCATCAGGTTACCTGGCATTTGCAAAGACCAGATTGTGTTCACACTTGAATTGTGTTTTGGGGATAGACTCAGACTAGTCCTTTCTTTACCTACTCATTTATTCAGGAAGGTTTACTTAACAGATTGACAGAAAGTGTGGTAGGCAGGTTTCAAAGGTACTGCAAAAATGGAAGAATTTTCTCTTTCTCGCTAATGACCAAACATTTACTAATAAAATAAGTTGTTGTTTGTTTTGACTAGTCTCTAGAGTTCCACTGCCACTCAGATCTAACATTTACTTCACATATGCATTATTTAGTACTTCACAGTTCAATCCAGGTACAGTTAGAATAGGCATTATATACAGTTCAGAGCTCTTGTGTCTAAGCCAAACACTGTTTTATATCAAGTTCTTACCCTTTGCAAAATATAGTCCTCTGGCGATGAAGTGAGAAAAAGTTCGTTTGTTACAACTGCAAGACATTTTACTTTAACTATTACAAAGCAATCCATTTTCCAACACTCTTAAACAGGATTCAAATTATTGGGCTTAAATTAGACCTTCTGTCTATTATTTCCATCTGATATGAATTCTTCTTAGAATGAAGCCACAGAGCTAAAGCCTGATTAAAAATGAAAAACGGGCACGCGCTACTTTCTCTATGATAAAACACCTTTCTCTTCAATGAGTTTAAACTTGCAATTACATTTGAAGACTGATGTCAGATAACAGCTGAGCCTTCGTTCAGGCAGGAAGAAATATCTTCATATTCTATATGTATTGCATGGAGCTGTAAGGCCAGCATCATGAAAATGTCTCTGTTCCTGATGAAGTAGTTTATGGGATGTTTCTTGGCACAGTCCTTAGAAAGGAATCCCCAGTCATTTTCACAAAGAAGTGAACGCAATTGTTTTCCATTTGTTCTACATTTTTGTCTCCTCTCTTTCATCAGAAATACATCAGAATATATAAACATACATAAATAAGTAATCTTTTGTTTACATGGTATTAATTATCTAGCTGGAAAGCACACTTGTCATACAAATCTATATAGGAGCTATGGGAGTCAGCCACTAGAACATGATCATCCTCTAAATAAATATAACTACACAGCAATAAACAGCAGCCACATGCAATAAAGTAGAATAGGAGGAGTAGAATACTATGTTCAATTGTAAATCACTGCGCATGGAAATTTCGGCAGGCATAATACAATTACCCAAATGGAGGTCAAATGCAATTTCACAGGGTGAGTAGCAGCCTATGACCATGTATCTGTTTAATTTTTTTTAATTCCAGAATGACCCATTCATTATTTAACATTTGGAAGTATCTTTGATTTTTCATATGCTATTCTGATGAATGCTATTAATTCATTCAGTAGACAATTGCAATTTGCATAATTATTACGAGGAATATTTTACTTACAAAGTTTGGAGTTTTTTCATTCTGATCCCCACACTTGAACTAAAAAGGAAAGGACCCGAAGTGAACAGAGAATACTAATCATAACACTTAGCTGAAATCACCTCAAAACATGATCTATCTTTATAGCCTGGAATATAAAAGTTTGCTGGAGTGAAACAGTAATATAAAATATAAGTAATAGTGATGACATTACATTTATTTTTCTAATTAGAAAATATATCCATAAGGAAAAAATCAGAAGGAATTATTGCCGATAAATGATCCATCATATATTAAAAAAAATCAGCTTCAGGTTTTAGTCTTTAAATTTATACCAACAACCTCAGCAAGAGTTGTGCTTTGAGATCACTCTCAAGCTATGATCTCACGAAGATCTTGTTCTTTAAGCATTCCTTCATGCTTCACTCTATTTCTTAATATTTGCTTGCTTCATTTTAATTTATTGATATTCAAAGTTTTATTTTTCTTCTTTCCCTTAAAGATTTTGACTCTGTAGTACAAGCAAGAACAAATCACTCAGGAAAACAGCCAGACTCTTTGAAAATGTGAAATTTCATCACTGTGTAGATTCAGAGCCAAAACTCCAGGCAGAGGTGCTGGCCTCCATTTTACCACTCAGACACTGCTGCTAACAAACTAACATTGAAAAAATTGGTTACATTGCTTCTCTCCTAGCTTTCAAAACTTACTTTTTTTTTTTTTAAAAAAAAAAAAAAACAAACAAACATAGAGGAGCTATTGAACTGATTAGTCTCTCTTTCAAAGGTCTTATATTTATCCCTGAATCACAGTACCCAAAGGGCACGCTCCACACAAGTAGTTTTCACTTGCAAAATGTAATGCTTATCATAGAAAATGACATGAACGGTTCACTACCTTAAAAACCTTTAGTACTATCCCATAAATACAGCATTTCATTAACAAGACACTAGGTTGGATCAATGTGAGCTCTTTC